GCTGGGAGCAAAGAAGGGGAAGGGGAGGGTTTATGGCTGTTTTAGAAGAGATACTTATCACTGAATTACCCTATTTCAAATTTTGACACAGGAATGTCTTAGGATCACTGTTATTGAAAACCATACAGAAGTCACTTGAGGCATTTTTCTCATGAACACAGAATGAGCTCATTACCTGTAGCCTGGTAACATGTAAACGACAGTGCACCTTGTACCCTTCCTGAAAGGGAGGAGTAGGGAGGGGGCTTCTTAAAACAAAATCAAATCAGGACCTATATAAAATCAGCTTTGCTTCCATTCAATTTAGATTTATACTCTTATTAGTTCTGATCACCAGATTTGTATCACAAAGTGCTCTTCGTGTACTTGATGTAAGCTATGTTTAGATTAAACACAGTTCTGCCCAGTTTCAGCATAAGTAAACATGTGATTTTCCCACAAATTACATTATCATGGAATCCCTCAGTGCTGCCCGCCTAGGAGAGGCATAAGAAATAAAGCACTAGAATGCAAACTAGTAACTGTTTTAGGAATAAGAATTATATCAAATACCACTCAAAGAGCATTTAAAAAGTTAAAACATTTTAAAGTTCAAAGAAGGAAAAAAACCACCACCAAAATCCAGGAGCCAAGGCACTCTGTACCTGACACTCCGTACCTGCCCGACACGGTCTACACAGAAGCTGGGCGGTGTTTCCTAACTGATCTGGAAAATGCAAACCAAAGGAGACTCTGCCTGCAGAGGCCAGTAGCTGTGCATCCCGCTTCCTGCTTCCCTTAGGAAAACCTCACTTTAGTAAATCAGGCAAAAGGAAAACGAGACTGTCATTTAATCTCCAAAAACAAAACAGAAAAACCCCCAACCTTCTACAAATACACATGTAAAAATATTTTAAACATCCCCAAGTATAAACCAGTCTTGCCCAAGAAAAATCACAGGATCTGGGATCCACCTGACAATGAAAGTCCCAGGAGTCTCACAACAGCATGAACCCACAGATTTTTTTTGTTCTTTAGTCCAATATGGTGAAGATCAATAAACGTCTGATAGCTCGAGTTGGCAAATACATGAGAACTTAGTGAGGTTTCTCCCCTACCCCTTTCACATACTCACACACCATAAATAACAGCACCCAAATCAAAGTCCCTGGGTGCTTGTAAAGTGTCCCGGATATTGTAAATCACAGTCAAAATAAAAGCAAGCATTCTCAGAAGGCTTTGAGGATATATTGGATCTGCAAATCCAAATGTCCTGAACACAGCATAAAAGATGAGTCCCTGGAAAGGGAGATCTAAAATCCTTGTACGAAGAATGAGACACCTGCAAACCAGCCGAGCAAGTTAAAACGCCCCTTGCAAGTGAGCCTTCCGGTGACTCCAGGTAAGTCTGAGTACTTAGAAAGCCCCCCCAAAAGCCAAGAGGAGAAGTGAGATGTGTCCCACTCGCGGCTGTCCTGCCCATCATGAGCCAGCAATCTGTAACACTGCCGGGGAGCCGGTCACTTCGGATCACTGGTGTGCTGTTCGCTGGAATGCACACGGGGTCGGAAAGAGGAAATGCCTGCCTCACAGGCCCATCTGCCTTTATTATCTTTTCCTGAACATCAGATGAACTGCCGAAGAAAAAAAAACTGCAGGGAGACAAAGTATGAAGAATGTGTAGACGTGGGACAGCAGCAACAGAGGAGGGCCCGGCTGGGTGGAGAACACAAACGAACAGCAGGGGTCCAGAAGGTGGCTGGGGATGGAGTGACATTCACGTGACTGACTTTCCCAAGCGAGGCTCCTGCACACAGCCCGGGCACCCTCCGAGTTGCGTTGTTATTAAGCCACCATCCTCTGGCCTCGCCAGCATTGCCTGCAGGCCTGGTTCCTGTCCAGACCCTTTCTGGCACCATCCCACCTATACCCTGGGGCTGCCACGGGTGCCAAGCAGACCAGTGCACCGCAGCCGCTCTGACCGTGAAGCCGGTTCTGTGGTCTAAGCCGGGCTGGACTTGCTGGTTGAAGAAAAAAGTGAATAGGATCCTTTCTTTTCCAAAACTGTGCCTGATGGCAGTTCAGCTGTTCTCTCGGCTTCCGTCTCCATCCCACGGTGACTGCAGCCAGGCGTCTGCGCCCGCTCAGCCATGCTCCGCCACTCGCAGTCACTAATAGTAGGGCCCTAGCTTTTCATACCCCAGGTAACTAGGCCACTCCGGGAACAGCCCATAGGAGCATCGAGGGCTTCCAAACTGGTCAAAGGATATCCCCAAATCTGGTCCGTTTTGCGACTCTGCTGTCCCCTGAGTGGACTTTAATTCCGCCCGGGTGATCCGATAGTTTTTGCCTTTGTTGCTGTCCCAGTACGTCTGCCCGTTGCACTCATAACACACAGCGAACTCCATTCTTTCGTAAGACTGGATTTTCTCAGGTAAGCGAATGTCAAAAGAGAACGTGTCCCTGTCTGAACTAGAGTAAGTGTCCTTCACATACCAGCAGGGGAAGTCTGTGAAGCTTTTCCAGGTGTCGAACGTCATCCTGATCTTCACCGTCTTCTCAAACGCGAGGTTGTGCACCTTCACCGTGCCGGCGATGGCTTTGTCCTTTAGCACGCAGTTCTCCAGGCAGACGTGGTCGCTCTGAAGCCGGCTTCTGAAGTCTAAGTAATCTGCAGAAGGCTGAGAAAAATCCAAAACAAAGCTCTCGCTCTCTGCTGTCGTCAGACTCACGATGTTGTCTAGGAGCTCAGTGATGTTGAACGGAATATCTAACGGGTCATCAAATTCTGAGAACACTTTGACCATTGTCAGGGCCAGCCCCTGGTTGTCTGCGAAGGACACTCGCTTTTTCACCTTTTTCTCCTGGACGGTTGGGGCCATCACTCCGCTGGCTTCATTCTTGCTGCTCAACTGAATACAAGGCCTCAGAGGTTTGCTTGGCTTTGGTGAGATCTTGAAGGCGAACCTCTCTCTGCGCAAGGAAGGGGCCATGCAGCTGTATCTGTACTCTATGTCCACAGCCATCGTTGGGTTAGATGAGTAGTCTAGGACGCTGGCCAAGGGGGAAAGAAAAAAACGGCAATGAGATCAGACTGACGTTGCTTTTCTTCACCTCTGTCCACGCAGCTACAGTTCAGTATTAATTCAAGTGCGGTCCAGATTAACCAAAGACAGTGAAAAAAAAATGAGAAGGGATAAAACATAATGGGTTTGATCCCATTTTCCAAAAGAATGGTAGCACTTCCATAGGATGCATTAATCGCTTAGCAATGATCAACTGGAGAAACACACAGGTTCAGAGACAAACACAACAGTAATTTATAGCCATAGTGTAGTTATCTAAACATTTGTTTTAAAGGGCATTTGTCTTACTGTTTCCTTAAAGTCAAAAGAGTGAAAATTATAGGGGCAATTTGCTTTCTATTATTTGTTCTTAGAGCCATGCAATTGTTCTGGAAAGGAGAGCTCTCACTGAATTGGGCAATATAACTTTTAAGAATGTTGACAATCGGTTCGATGTAAAAAAAACACCAACCACGCAAATAAACTTACAAAGTACTTGCATTTTAGTTTTTCCCTGGTCCGTTGCAAAACTCTGTTAGAATGTACTGGAATTACACCTTTAGCTTTAACTTCAACACAAGCAGCTTTTGCTTGTTTGGTTTTTATTAAATACAAATGAAAAACCAAACAGGGGGCAAAGCTTTGCATCCAACCCCTCCCACTCTGACCACTCTTGACAACCTGGGTATGAACTGAGGGAGGAGGGGTTCCTCTTTGGCCACAGCAGCTTCCTCCTTGCCTGAGTCAGCACAAGGTCAGCTGCAAGTTCTCTCTGCCGGCCAACTAGTCTGCAAACCAACCTCCTACGTGCTTTCCTGCATGACATTAAAATAGCTCATTAGAAAAAGGTTGGGAACCTCTGATGATATTGTGTAAACTGAATTTTAAAATAAGAGGATCAGTAAAAGAATGAAGATTTGGTAAAGTTACACTGTTTGGACCCCGTGGTGTAAATGTGCCCGAGATCCCTTTTACCACCAAGCTGTAAGAACAAGTGGAACTAGGGGTCAGGAGGTGAGGTTCCAGCCAGAACTAATTAAACAATTCCCCTGGCACTTTCTAGAGCCTAATCGGTTTTGCAACATTCTTCCACGAAAGGCAAAAGTAAGGTTAATCACCTGTCGACCCAAGGGTTACTGCCCCAGGGGTATTGCACAAGCAGCCCCTGCCCAGAACCCCTTCGCTTTCTCAGTGTCACCATGACTGGTGGTGTGGACATTAAACCCTGGCACCTTAATCTCAGATATGGTGTGACTGTCAGCTACTTTGCCTATCCTCACACACAGATTCCAGTTTTTATTAATTGGAGCATTCTCCAAGAACTGGTCACCCAAGTGCTGGTTTGGTGTAGACCTTCCTGACCCTCTGCTCAGGAATTCCCCAATGGACTGTGACAGGAATGACCATCACTCAGAAGTAGTCCTAGCAACAGAGACATGCAAAGTAATAGTTTCCTAAGTTCCTAGAAGGAAGGCACCTGGACAGGCATTTTTATCTTCAAGTGGCTTGAAAATGATCAGTTCCAATGCAGGATGCACCTGCTGTACCTCAGGCCCCTTCTCCTGACAGACCCTTCTGCTGCTCCAGCCCTTTCCCTCACTCAGACCAGGGAATATGAGTGACCAAGGCTGGCCAGGCAGGTAGGACCTGGATACCAGTTCACTGCAGGACAGGATCATGAGAGCATGAGTAGCTGTTACTCAGGCCAGTATGGATGCTCAAAAGCTTTGCTTCCAAATAGATGCCTGAGATCAGTCTGGCCCCATTACGGACTGGGCCATGCCCAAGGGTAGATTTCAGCAATCCTGGTCAAAAGAGGGCAAACCCTAACACTCCATGATAATTACAAAACATGGATAGTTTTACATAAAGGCTTCCCTTTTCGCTAGTGACAAATAACACACCACCTCAAGACAGCTGGCCAGGGCTAGACGTCACGGTGATTTTTCTCTTGAAAACTATAGGCTTGTACAGAAAAGAACCCCATGACCTTCACAGTTCTAGGCAGTTGACCTACTGACTTTCTGGCTGTGCCTTTTATAGGAAGTATTTTTTTTTTTTGTATTGACGCCAAAACATTTCCCCCTCATTCTCTTGTACTTTGATATGTAAAGACAGAAAAATAAGATGCACCAATAACCCCTGCCCCCAGGAACACCAAAACATTAGGTAAGCAGTCACAACAGGTTATAATTTTTAAGACATAACCATCCACCCCTTCAGCATTCCTTTATCCCCTCCCAAAAGGTTTGGTTGACACTGTGAATAAAGCTGACATCCTTCTCTTTGTACTCTGATCATGGCACCCCTTATTCAAGGTCTTAAAAGCCACTTGAATTCCTCTATCCTGTCACTATCCAAAGCATCTTTGAGATAAACATCTGTGGATGAGGCTGCATATTACAGAAAAGAGATAAGTTAAAATGGCATAGTCTCTGCCATCTAAATGTCCAAAGTGAAACACAGAGTGCTGGCCTAGGCAAGCCTCCACCTAGCTGTGCCACTTGCTACAAGTCACTCAAACTCTCTGGGCTCCTGAGGTTCCTCTGACTCTGACATTCGTGATTGCTAATAATGCCTGATAGTTCTTCTCTTCCCACTACCTTTCCTTAAATACCTCAACCTGACTTTTGTGGTAAGGCCCCCAGCTGGCTCCCTTCAGTCTTGGCTCCTGGGCAACCCTGCCAGATGAACCCTTTCCTCTGCCTCCGCACCCCAGCTCAAAGCCCTAATGCTCTCGTCTGGACCCTAGTTCTCCCGGGGAGGCCTGGCCACGAAAACCACAGGCTCTAACACCTTCTAGCAACTCTCCACGCCCCCAAGTCTTTCCTCAATCTTCTCCTCTTCTTTGGGGAACAATGCCACGGCAGCCCCAAATCTTCTAGCATGTCCTTCTAGGCCCTCGATCCTCTCTTTTGCAGGGTCCCTTCCACACCTCTTTTTCTGCGTTCAAAAGAGTGGAGCGTCCAGGCTGGAAGATCCCACAGGTCACTCCGACTCGGCCCCTCTCGGCCCCACCTCCCAACCCCCCTTGGGTCCTCCTTCGCCTGTCGGGCACCCACCTGTGGGGCCGCGGGGCAGCCCCCGCCCCAGCTCGCTTGGTGCTGCATCGGAGAGCCCGGAGGGAGGTGGCAGGGGAGGCCGGCGCCACGGGACTACGCTCGGTTCCCGGAGGGGGAGGAGCCCA